TGCAAACTTCAGAATAAATCTGAAGCATCGCAGGTCTTCATTTCCACACAGGTAGAGACGAGCAAAATAGATAAAAACTTGAGAATGCCTGTTTACCTGTCAGGTAAACCTAAGAAAATCGGATTTCAAGTAATTCTGAGAGTTATTTCCTGTATTTTTTACAATTTTCAACCATACCATAAAATAATCATGTGACTTCTTGTTGTAGCAAAAGCTCTGCCTTTAAATTAAATAGCAATGTTTATGCATGAGATCAGTAAATGAGTTTACAGTATATACCCGCTACAGCCGGATGCAAAAATTCGGTTCCATTTGTCAACCCAAACAGCTGGATGACACACCCAATGGAAGCCATGGTGTTGGTGGCAGGAACCAAGAGAAATGGTTTGTGGTTTTAAACTTCCATTGCTCTATTTACTGAGTGACATTTACACAATGTTCTACAGTGAGGTGAACTAACGTAAGCTGCTGAGATGTATCCTGCTGCGCCTCAGATACCACACTGAGTTTTGTTATGCTGCGCTCACTGTTTGAGATGACACCCGCTCATGAATCAATACATAAAATTACTTTTTTCATTTAAATAAAAATTGGAATAATATTCATTTTTCATAAGCACAGCACGCTATTCTGGCAGGTCATTCTGCAAGAATGTCGTGCAGCAACTACTATTGGTGTGATTCCATAAAAAGAAACATTAAATTAAAAAGTATTATGAGCAGTTTGCAGCAGAATGCAATCAAAGTGATCACACTTTAGATAAAAAAATAAAGAAATTTTCACTAAAAGTGATGATTTTGGCATCTTCAAAGTTATAAAGTCAATAACAGAGCAAGTTACTTGATAAAAAAAATGTTGAGACAGCATTTAATAGTTCATTCATTTTCCTCTTTGCTTGGGGACACTGTGTGCTGGCAATTTGATTGCAGCCTTGAGATTTTGTTTTTCATTTATAAGACATGCTCAATGAGCACGTGGCAGATTGACTGTAAGCAAAGTAAAATGAGTCAGACTGAGGTCATTTTGAAAATAATAATAAAAAAAATCACTTAGAGCCACTTATGGAAAATACCTGGGTTGGGATTGAACGAATTGGGTTTGTCATGTATATATTGTCATAAGAAAAAAAATTTTATGGCTTAAAACTGGCCAAAACAGATAGATAGATAGATAGATGGATAGATAGATAGTGTGGATAGATAGATAGTGTGGATGACAGGTAAGGATTCAAAAACATAAGATTGATGTCAGATGATATTTTTATTTATTTGTTTATTTATTTATTTTGAGATATCTTTGGTATTAGCACCATTTTGTTATTACGCATTTGTATCTATAGGTAAACTATTAAAAGTGTCCAAAATACCAAATTCTTAATAATATTGAAATTAGATAAATCATGTTAAATACAATTAATACATTTAATTCTACTCAAACTGTCACAATAGTTCTTGGTACCTTTCTGTTTTATTTCCTCAAGCATTTTTTTATACATGGCATGTAGTAAAGCTTTATTTAATCCTCCCCTGCATCAGTAAATACCGATATATCAAAGCTTTTCTGCAGTCAGATTGTAATGATTATCTGTCAAGCCAAAGCTGCAAGATAAAGTTAAATACTTTGTGCACACGGGTTTTAAAGTTATTAGAATGTGCGTTTGTGATAAAATGCGTTTTGAACTTCCGTCCTTCACTTTCTTCTCTAACTCGCAGCTTTCGAGTATCGGCGTGCTCTCTGAACAGAGCTATCGACGGCAGACAGAGGTGAGTTCAGTGTCGGAATCTTTTCTGACACGCGAGGTCAAGCTTTGAGTACTGCAGGAGCCCTTGAGCTGACAGATGAAAGGTTGGAGATTTGGAAAGAAGAATCAATGCAGGTGGAGAGACGTTGCAACACAAGGCGTTTGGACACCGTGCACCGTCGCGGGGCATGCAAAATTTGGAAAAGCTCCGGCGTGAAGAGATGCATCCCCCGGAGGGAACGTCCATCTTTGCACAAGGTTGAAACTTTAAATAATTGAACAAGAAATAAAAAGACTGAGGTTGATAGAACAATCTTTGTAACATAAAGAGAAAATTTGCCCCAGGACACAAATTTGAATGTAATAAAACTGAAGGGATTACAGAAACCCCACCATTACACTGTGGTATTTTCCTCTAATGAGGTGTCAGATTCCGTGAGTAATGCTTGACTTACATATAAATGGAAATTCTGAGGCACTTGTACTTAAAATCTTTCCAATTATTTTACATGATGAGTATTTGCACATGAAGATTTGTCATTCAGTCATCCAGTTATTTCCTGTTGCATCTTACAGCAGCTAACGAGGTTACTGGTATAAACAGCCTTCAATTACCAGATGGAACATTTTAAAAACAAGAAACCATCTCAAGTTTTCCTCTCACGTTCAAATTGACCAATCACTTTTAACAGAGAAAATAAACAAGTCACAACTATTTTCAGTCAGRGCTAAAATTTTATGTAGTATTTTCTAGGATTTTAGTTGTCTATTTTACATCATTTGAGTTGTTTGTGCAGAAAATAAAATAGGCTCTAAAAGCTGAATTACTAGGCTAAACATTGTCTAAATTAGTTTGGAGGTATTCAGCACTAAAACACAGCCTCATTTAGAGTCCACATGAAAAGAGCAGCTATTTCAGAGATTTATATAAAAATCTGAAACAATACATTTGTTGAAAATGTTTTTTTTTCTGCCATCTCTATGCGCACAGGACTATTCATGTCTCCATAGCATCCCTATCATCATTTGAATCAGATGTGGGCATTGCATGCAGCGAGGGCCCATCTGATTGGACAAACACTTTTTATTATTGGCATTCAGAGTGAATGCAGAGCACTTGGAAATACAATACCCTACTATTTATTGCCGTCCTTTGCAATTATGACATTTTATATGTTGATATTGCAATAATAATAAATCCCTGAAACGTTGTGCAGCTTCGGTTGCAGAAACAGCTTCTGTGAAAGTAAGGAGACCCATTTGCATTTTTTTTCTTAATATCGGCTGATATGAATATATCAGAATTTGATTAGAGTTTCAAAATATGTGACACCCCGTAAAGGAACGTTGTGACTGACAGCAAATCTAATAATGTGATGATTAAATTGCATTTCCCATCGTTCCACAGGAGCATTTTTTTAAAATCTTGACACAATAACACACCATCCAGCAAGTATCACTTAATTGCTTATTACAGCCAGAGTGAGAAGCTACCAATTCTGAGGCAAGACAAAATAACATCTGCCAAGGCTCACATTTCAAAGTTATCTCTGGCTAGACAACTTCGTTGCCAGATAAACAAGCCCACACTGCWTTTTCCTCCTGTGTTATTAATATTCTGGTTATTACTGTAGCATTCTGGAAACAAAGAAGCTCCATGAACGTGGTGATGAGGCTACAGATGGCAGATAAGGGTGGCTTTCAAAGAGCTCTCTGTAATGGACACCCACTTTAAATGGGAATATGAAACACCCCCCTCCCTCTTCACTCCCCCCCTATTGCAAACTTTTTGTCATGACCTCCAACACAGTTTGCTGAGCTTTTATGCAAACTCGACCGCTGCAGGCCGTGTTCAGGCATAAAGGATTGTGGATGGACTCACTGCAGGGTTGCTGGTGAGCAAAAGCTGCTACAAAGTACCTCTGGAAAAAAACTACTTCAGAAAACCTAAAAGGGGTTACTGCACTGCAAAATAAAACACTGGTTATAGATTAAAAAAAAACACTTAAGGTCAAAGATGAAAGAGAGGAAAAAATGATTAATATGAATGTTCCCAGTTAGCACTGATAAAATTGTTGTTACATTTTGTCTATATTCACAAGTTATTAATTTGACAAAAAGTAGAGACAGAATAATTTAATTTTCAGTTTTGTGAATATTTCAACTTTTTTCACCTTATTAAAAAAAGTCAGCTGCCATTGTTCAAGTAAATGACCCATCACCTTACTAATGACTGTACTCAAGCTTCAGTTGCCACAAACTACCCTCACCCCTGTTTGACCTGCTGAAACAGAAAAAAAGGAACAAGACTGCAAAAATGCATATTTAGMTTTATGCATTTGCAAGCAATTCATTCCTATGTAAAGAAACAGAGCTTGAAACCATCAAAAGAAATCTAGACTTTTTGTCTCCTACAGCTTGATCATTGAAGCTGCACAGATCACATATACAATTTAAAGTCAATCATCAAATCTTATTCAGCAATAATTCATGCTTAGCAGCTGACCTGCAGAGTGACCTCATGGTCAAATTTAACTGATGACTCGAGGCAGAATTCATGAAAAAAACCTGCTGCTCTAATTTGTTTTTCATGCAGCTGCCACAATAGGACAAAAATAAAAAAAAAAACTCTAAAGAACTGTCAGATTATTAAAAGGTGACTCTTTTCAATTTATTTTCTTTTTAATTAAGATGCTTCAGATGTTCTCATCGAGGTGTGACTCAGTTTACTTGCTTGATAAAAGCTGCTACCTCTATCTGATGACTTGTAAACATGCATCTTTCTATTTTTAAAGCCGATATTTAAACTTTTTTRTCTCTCTCTCTCATGACAGCACAAAGCTGATAAAAGCTTTTGTTGTGTTTGACATCTAGCGGTCGTGTTCGTCTTGCACCTTCATCAGCTGTATGTCCCATCATGCAACGCTTGGCCCTTGTAGAGATTATATTTACTCTGTGCTGCCGTAAGCACCTTTCCTAACAGATTATATGAATTAGGGCCTTATTATGGGCTCTGGTCAGGAGCTGCATGTACAGGTGATTTGTAATAAGGACAGTGCTGAGGCGAGTCAGCAGCTGGACCTCAGGWGGAAAACCCTCCGCTCAGCTGCAGGATGAGTCGAAGGACACTCCACAAGTCTCTGTTTTGGTCTGAGGCGCAGCAAGACAAAGATACAGATGAGTCAGAAATGGCAGAAATCCAAAAACAACAAACTTGTTTTTGCAAGAAGAAGAATAAAACACAAAGGAGCCAGTTTGATTCATAGGAATTTATCAATATTTTATATTCTTTTGTAGCAAAATGTTTTCACACAAACATCTGTTCTTTTTATATTTTTTCTCGATTTTGTCATAGAACTTCAGGTGAGCATCATGTCTATGTTGGGTCAAATACACATTTAAATTTATCATGATAGTTGGCAGACTTGAGGGGGATGATGCACGGTGCCAGGAGCAGAGAGGCTGAATGATTGCTTCACACAGATCAATAAAACACCTATTCACCCGAGTGCCTGCAGTGAAGCCTTAGCATGGTGGTGTTGATTTTATTAGCCTGCTAAAATGGTTTTGCTTGAAATTCATGGGGAATTTTTTTGAGAACATGAAAAATCAAAGATAAATGCAAAAAAAKCCCAAACTTAAATTAACAAATGAATAAATATTGAGGCATTTTGCTTTTCTTAGTTCTGCTAAAAATAATGCAACTTGTCATCATTTTCTAACACATCTGTTAACATGGGAGGATAAATAAACAGAAAAATGTTTTTCTGTTAATAAAAAACTAAAAAAAAAATAATAATAAAAACTTGCCAGCTGGAAATTTTCAGAACACACTAACCTCTTTTACATTACAGTATCTTCTAAAATAAATATGTCTCAGTAAAATCAATATATTTACATTTGCAGCAACACTAGTGCATTTTCATAGATGTGACTACCGTACAGTTTTGCCATAGAATCCTTTTGGGAGGTATATAAGGGTATTATAACTATAAATGGAAAAATACTTTTTTAAGTAATTCTTTTTGACATTGTTTAAAAATGTTATATACACTTTAGCACAAAACACTCAAAACACACATGGTCATTACAGTTACTTTGGCTCAGATATTTGATCAGTGTTGTTGGTGTCAGAAAGCATATTTAAACCTGGCTGTGTGGTAAAAATAACTATGATGTTCTTTAAGTGGTTCTGAAATTTCAGGTCATTTCATGTGAAGTCTCATAGAAATGCAAAGCAGCTTAATTGTAAATGAAAGTATTGGATGCTGGAATGAAACAGAAAAAAATAAAGGAGTATTTCAGTATTTGCAGGCAATYGAAACCAGGCTCCATAAAGATTTATCACTTGAGATTTGCGTGAAATGTTCATTTTTTTTAAATGGAAGTGAAAAAAACCATTTAAAAACATCCACTCTCTCCACACACGTGGCACCGTGTAAAATCCCATTTCAGTAAGCCAACTAACAAAGACCTTGTTGGTACACCACAGTAATCACCTCCTCACTGTTTGCTTGACATGAAAATAAAAGTACTACTGCACAATCCCCACCCCTTTACATTCTCACCCAGATATTGTACAAAAAATATGCCATTATACAGAACAGTACACCTACTGTAGGAGAAAGAAACTRGATGATCATTCAACATTTTATAGCAGAGTCCCACAGAATACTGAGAAAGGCATTAAAATGRAGGGTTGTTGCAGCTGATTGGAGGCAGTGATTTGAATAGTGACTCAAGATATAGAATAGATAACTCAAAGTATCCTTCTGCAATGTACAGCCCTGTATGGAAATGACAAATACATTGTTTCTCTTAAGAAACATGTCAAGGAATGTGTAAACCAAAAAAGGTTCTCTGTCATGCAATTCAGTGAATTCAATTTCATTTCCCAACGCGAACATCCTCTCATAAGCAACACAACTGACCTTTACCCAGCCAATAAATGACAAATTCCTCCATTTAACCTGGCTAAATGAGTGATTATCATGCTCTCTTGTTTGTGTTGCCTGAAGAGAATCACAGCCCAGTGATACATCATGCTGATGGCTGCTTTGGCAAAATGATTAAGAGGGCTTGATGGATTTCAAACACAGTTTGGCTTCTGTAGTGCTGTGTCTTGAACCTGGACTCTGAAGCAAAAAAAAAAAAGTGATAATTGGTACTAAAGCACATGGTTACTACACTGACTATTTGCTGGGCAAATYCTGTATTTAGCTGGTTGGAGACAGAATAGATCAAAAGAGAATGTTCCYTTTTTTGTTTCCTATTTTTGAAGTGGAGTTGTGTGAGTACTTATGAATGATACGCATCTTACATTACCCAGATGAAACTTATTTTTAGCTTTATCTGAAGCTTATTTTAATAGGAAATGAGTGTTTGATAAGTGGTTTTACATAAACTGACAGGCAACAGTTGAAAAAATGTTTACTTTATGTGATACCACTTGTCAAACACTTGTTTCCTATTAAAATATCACAAGAATATAAACATATGAAGCACATATGGATGTTTTTTAATATCAATTTATTCATAGTTTTGCACGTCCTCTGCTGTCCACCTGAGGCTGCTACAACACTTTCTGCAGCCTTGTGGATCAAAGTTTGACTCCTCCATGAAACTTTACCCCAGGCTCTTCGAACTGAGATTCCTCTGACATCCATTTACTGCAGTTTAGATGCTGACTACTCATTATTACTTCACACAACCCGACTTCAACAAAACCATCTTTTTGAGCATTCCCTTTTGAGCGTCAAAGAACAACGAAATACTGATTCAGCACGTGGACATTTGTTCTTTTTGTTCAAGCTGTCACATACAATAAACCTCTTCTACATAACCTGAGGTAGAGATACAATGCTGTGGTTCAGAGATGCTCTTATCTGGGGTGTGTTACTGTTGTTGTTTTGGGACAAAATGAGTTAAAGTTGTATGAACTTGTGTGGCAGTTGGTAACTCCTGCGTAAGCATTTTTTTAAAACTACAACCTCATTACAGAGCTGTGTCTCTGTCTTCTGATGAATCACCTCAAATAATAAATAATAAAAATGATAGAAAAATCCCGATGTAAATAAAAATGAGTTTAATTTTCTACTGTACTAGCGCATGAGATCCAACTCTCTGCTGTTGGAGTAGTTCAGTTTCAACCTTCAGTCCACAACATTGTGATCCAGTTTATCACAGTCGAGGCAAATCCTCTTGGTGTTCAGGTCCTTTGATAAAGAAGTAATAAATCCACTCTGAATGTCTTATCTTTCCTTTTGACTGCAGATCAGGAGTTTTTTCATGTGGGCATTTTTTTCCAGTTACTTCACAATGGAACATTTTTCAAATATAGGCAAAAGTGTCAGACAGTTCTGATCATGGGCATTTACCTAAATATTTGTGTGTCTTTTCAACAGTATTCACATGGTTGAACTTCAGGCAGTACCTTAAGACAGCTTTCCTGTGGAACTTTCTTCTACTCTGATGTTTTGTGATGCAGATCTACTGTTTGGTCATAAACCTTACAAATGGTCTGTACTCAAACGGTGCTCTCCATTACCCACTCAGAGCTCTCAAACGAGGGCTTCTCGTCCTCGCTGTCGTCGTACTGCAGAAGCATACCATTAACAGACAGACTGCGCTTAGTCCAGATGTTGCTGATCCTGCGCGGCTGGCTGCTGCGACACTGTGCTGCCCCGACGTGGCCCATGTCAAACGAGTGGCTCCTCTTAGGCTTTCCCTCCTGGGGAAAACCTAGAAGACGACCAAGCATCGTCGTGGACTCGGCCCTCCCGAGCAGCGGCTCTTTGTCAGACGGCGGTGCCACGGCCACCGTCGTGATGGTGTTTTGAGCGGCCGAGGAGCTCGAAGCCCCTTGGTTGTCCTTTGCTGGACCTCGCAGCTCCAGCGAGGTGAAGGCCCCTAAGAGGTGGTCCAAATTTTGCCGTGCTTTGGTTCCGTGCCCGTGCCTCCTGAACTTGCTGCTGGGCAGGGTGCTGCATTCACTGTCCTGAACGCTGTAGCGGCCACCGGCTCCTCTTCCTGTTTGGCTTTCTAGTGAGTTAGAGGATGAGGATGAGGATGAGAGGCTGCTCTGGAGAGATCCACACTTAAACTCTACCATCTCCTCACGCATGACCACCACCGTGGACTTGACCTGTGGTGGGGCGCCATTAAACCTGTTCACTCCCCCATTGGTCTGTGAGTATGTGTTGCTCACTGTAGGTAATTTACTCGTTTGGATCCCACTGGTGACCTTATAGCGGACCATGAGGATGATGATGAACACCAGCAACGTGGCTACAATGATGCCACCGATGACCAGAATCATGGTGCCGCCCAGGAAGCCGCTGTGAAGCGACTGGCACTGCGGGTACTCATCTGTGGTGACGAACTGGACGCAGCCAACAATGTTGGTGGCGGTAAGCGTGGTGGCGGTGTCGTCCCAAATGGCCAAGACACACAGGTCATACGGCATTCCTGGGACCAAATTAGTGACTGCGAACGCTCTGTGAGTCCGTGGAATCATCCTGAAGAAGGGGAAAGAAAAATGAAATATTGTAAACATCTCGCCTCATGAAATAAAGGCACGATTAAAGAACTAAAATGTCAAAAACATATTTGAATTACTCTGATAAACTGAAGCAGATCAAAGAAATAGTAAAAAAAGGGCATACTAAGTAGCTATTTATATGCAGAGAGTAATTCAAAAAAGATGACTTCATTGCTCGCAGTATATCCCATTTGATATGCATGAAGCAAATGGTAATGAGATAAGCACTGAATGGCCACTTTTTGAATATTGTTTTGGGAAAATGTAATTTCATGTACGTTCCATTTAACATGTATTATTGTGCTTTGCGTAAGTCTGTTATTCTTCCAGATGTTTTAATATGACTGAATAACTGGAGCTCTGTGCTTTTCACTAAAATTCAATTTAAACTCAAAATATATAATCAGTGAGTTGTGGCAGGAACCTATATTTTTTGTGTAGAAATGTTTTGTAAGAACTCTTTTGTTTGGCATATTAATGCTCTTTAATGACTGGAAACCATTTCTTTTTCTCATTACACATTAATAAATTGCAAATCATTGTTGTTTTTCAGGGTTTAACTCAGTGGTGGACAAAGTACACAACTATTTTTTAGTAAAAATATTGATACTCATGGTCAAATCTTACTCAACTACAAGTAAAAGTTGCTTGGTCAAAAATCATGAAGTCTTTACTTCTGAAAATATTCAAAAGTACAAATTACATTTTCTAATATCAATGCATTGCTGTAATGTTTTTCTCATAAACCACCTGATGTATTGACACATAGAACCACTCTGTTACAAATTCTACACCACCTGTAAAGACTTCAGCATAAAAATTCAATAAAGTGAGTGGTGAGTTCTTAAATGCAGACATGTCTTTTATCCACAGTGAACAGAATACATTTAAACAGATTATACAAATTATTTTTCAATACTAGAATCTCAAACATTGAGCTGAGATATGGTCATGGTTCATTTCTCCCCTTGAGTTGCCTCAGCCGTCTCCACTGCTGTGTTCTGTTTGAAATGAAAGTGGGAGCACAGCTCACAACGGTTAACGAGGGTGACATAATTCCAAATCCATCTCAGGTGAGAACTAAAACTGTGATTGGTGCCAATTGCATTTCAAGAAAGAAAAAAACAGCAATAGCAGATTACAAAGCTACGCTGAGCCAAAAGGAATGTGTAACGACCAGCTTCCTAGAAATGTAGTGTATTCAAAAGTACAATATTTGTGTTTGAAATGTAATGGAATGAAAGTCACAAGTTCCCCAAAAAATAATTACTCAAGAGAAATAAAGATATTCAAAAAATGTACTTAAGTACAGTACTCAAGTAAATGTACTCTGTTACTGTCCATCACTGGTTTAAATGTAGTAGGAGAGGAGTCCTATTGAGGATTGCCTAAAGTGATGGGTATTAAAACATCATTAAAAAGGATAATTCTGTCTTTCTTTCAGTTGCTCTCGTCTGCAGGTGTTGCAGCAATAAGCCATCTAACATGAAATGTTTGCCAATTGTTCTGCACTGGATGTGCTTCCTGACAACTTGGGTTTAAACCTGCAGCCTCAGGATTACAAGGCTTCAGRACTGACTACAAACCTAACACATCCTTTGCACACTAACATGTTCTTGTGTTTCTATTAAAGAGAAAAAAATAAACACTTCAGATTCACGTGACAGAAATAAGAGTGACTAAAAGGCACACACACAAAAAAATAATAATTTGGATTAAAAAAAGATCAAACTTAAAAGTACAGCCCTAATTCTGATCTCATGTAAGAGTCACCAGCAGTTACATAACACATTTAAAAGATTAATTTTCGCAGATCTTGTATATCATGCTTAATGAGTAACTGCACCCTCAGAAGAGAGCCAGCTATACCTGAGAATCTAAAATATGCATCAGAGGAGCAAAAGGGTTGTAGAGAGCGTGTTAGTCAGTGATGTGGTGCTAACGGCAGGTAATTAATGTACAAAATAAAGCTTTCTGCTTGTTAAATCATAGCTTATGGGTGCTAAGAGGGTTTCACTTATTCTGTATAAGCAAGTTCTAATACTGCATGTTACAGTAACTGACATTTAAATACAAATTTCTTTATACAGTATATATATATATATATATATATATATATATATATATATATATACATGCAGCTATAAATACAAAAATGTTCAATGCATTTCATTAAAAAAAAAAAAAAAAAAAAAAACGAGCCCTAATACATTCAGCCCAACTGATGCTGCCATGTAGAAGTAAACATTTTGGTTGTATACCAAGTCTTGGCTTGTGGTTCTTTTGCAGCACATGCATCAAAAATGTTTCATTCCTCTGAAGGCATCTTAAAGGAATGTTCATTTTTCAACCTAATTGCCTCTTTCTGTAAACCTGAAGATGTTTTGCTTTGTCACATGTTCCAACTCATGCTATCGCTCTGCTGCCCCACATGGCTCTGATTGATTTGTAGTCGAGCCATTGCTTCAGTGCAGGCAGAGAAAACAGCTGGTTAAAGTCAGGTTAACATTTGTTAATCAGTTAAATCACTGCAATGTTACAGTTTAAATGTTCATGTCAGCTCACATTGCAGTATTTTTTGTTTGTATGATGTTCAATCCTTCACCTATCTATCCTTACATCTGTCTTTCAGAGCAAAAGTCATTTATTAAACAGCCATCCAAATGCTGAGATTTCACTGAAAATCCTAATTATCAGTGTCCTTTCCGAGTTTTTGTATTTTTCTGCCTCAGAAGATCAAAGGCCTGCAGAATAAATCTGTGGTTTAAAAAAAGAGAGCAAGTTCAGACAGTATAAATTATTTTAAAATAGCKTTAAATATAAATAAAAACAAAACCATGAACACAACATGTGCATTACACGTATTGAAATGATAGAATACGAACATCCTAAATGTCGCACGGTTTACCTTGCACCATATAAAACCTCAAAAATGGGACTCAAGCTACATATGTTTACTGCATTACTCTTTCAGTAATAAACATCGAAGGCCAATAAAATCAAGAATGTCATTAAAGAAATGACTTTTTTCAGGAGAACAATTTATCTGCGTCGAGTCTTGTTTCTGGTGAACAAAAATAAGGATGAGTCATCCAATATGCTGTCACCGGGCAGGAAAAAAAAAAGGTTCTGAACATTCAAATTGTCTTCTCCACTCTGCCATGGAAACCTGTCACAGAGCGTGCATGCAAAGAAATCAGATTAAAAAAAAGCTTATAATTGAATTTGCCTGCGATGTGAGATGCATCAACAGTGTTTGGACAAAGTAATACTTTTCTTTTTCACTGTGATTTGGTTCTGAATCCAGACTCTTAGTTAATTAGACTGTTACTCCATGTTATCTTTCATTGAAAAGATTTTGCAAAGTGTAAGTAAAAGTGTAAGARTAATTCAAAAATACTATTAAGCGAGCAAATCAGTTTTGCTAGAGTAATCCAATAAGCATCTAATATTTATACCAKTGTGATGCAGTCAAGTAAAGCAGAGTTTTAATACAGTGTGGATATTTTGTGGAAGGATTCATAGATGTGTTTACTTTAGGGRATGGGCAATGTGTGATATTAAGAAAAATAAACAAACCTAAAGTAGAGATTTATATCCGAGACGAAGTGAAAACATAGAGCCGAACGTTCTRTTCTTGAATGCACCCCAGGTAATTTTGTATTAAACATCAAGGGCTATTTTTTACACGTTTCTAAGCAATTATTTTGGTTGAATGTTGCTTCAATCACTGTCTCATTTGAAATAGGAAATTGATTTCACAGAGCTCAAAGATCTCCGGCTACAGTCTTCAAGCCCACACTTKTATGAACTTCAGCAGCTTAAGAGGGATACATTAAAATGAGGTTTATAATCCTTTTTCTTCTTGGGTTTCTAATTAACAGTTTGGGGCAAGGATTTCTCTTCAAGTTTCATTTTTCTGAAATAAAAATATGTGAAAAGACTATTGGTCTATTTCTATAAAAAAAACCTCAAGAAGGATTAAGGAAGATGCATATTGGTTTTGAGAAATCTCTTCAGAAGAACGGATTGTTTGAAGCGCTCATCACTGTAAACAATTTGCAAATGAAAACTGAGATGAAAATGTTCTGATGAAAAAAGATACACCCTGAACTAACAGCCTCTTTGACAGAAAAATCTCAGTTCACACTTAAGAAGTAAGTGGGATCTATTATTCATTCTTACCTGTAAACGAGGACTTCATCGTCAGAACAATTGTACTGCAGCTGAAACATTTTGACCTTTGGAGTTGATTTGCTAACCGTCCACTTAATCAGAGCAGAGACTGCAGTCACTTCAGACACAGACACCATCTTCTCTGGAAGAGATTTGGGCTCCCCCTTACTTATRTTTGTAGAGCTTGTGATGTCCGAAAGACCCGACTTGGACTGTGTGGTACGGTTTGTACTATTTGTCAGGTGGGGGAGTTGAARGATTGAAAGGTCAATGGATGCTGTAGATTCCCCTGCAGCATTGGCGGCTATGCAAGTAAAGATGCCATAATCCTTGGATGTGGTGATTGCTATGTCCAATGTGCCATTTTCATACACGGTTGCTCGTGAGGAGTTGCTGATCAAACGGTCATCGGGAGCAACCCAGTGCACAGTTGGCATTGGATCGCCGACAGCTTTGCAACGCAAGCTAGCAGTTTGACCCTCCAGCACGAGCAGTTTGTGTGTATGTTGTGTGATTAAAGGGGGCTCGCAGACAAACTCCTCCTCCCGGACAGACCAAAAATAACGTCCCTTTAAACTAGCTGGTGAAGCGCACGTTTCCATATCGTCCTCACGGTCCAGTCTTCGTAGCCACAGTACCTCACAGTTGCAGTGCAATGGATTTCCACCAAAGCTTAYAGAAAGTTGAGGTGCATACGGAGTGCTCATGATCATGCTGCTTTGGGAGCGTGCAAAGATAGGATCCGGGGGGAGCTTCTGGAGACGATTGGAGGTCAGGTCCAAGCGAGCCAATTTCTCAAGGTCTGTAAAAGTTCCCTCAGCAATGAAGGAGATGAGGTTATGGTCCAGACTCATCTGATGCAGGTTGACCATCTTGCGGATGGCTTCCCAAGGCACGCTGCGCAAGTTGTTATAAGACAAATCCAAGTCCTCCAATGTCAGAAACAAGTCATCAAAAGCTGCGTCTGAGATTTGACTCAGCTGATTGTTATTGAGAATCAGGTGCTGCAGGTTGATCAGTCCTCGGAGGTCATCTGCTCCCAGTTCCGTCAGTCGGTTACTGTCAAGATGCAGGGATCTCAACGTCTCCAAATCAATGAAAGAGAAAGGCTGGATGCTGCCAATAGTGTTTCGGGACAAAGTGAGATCCACCAGACCTGTCATGTTGGCAAAATCCTGAGTGGTGACCTTGAGGATGAAATTGCCGCCCAGCCTGAGCTCTACAGTTCGACGGTCAATGTCTGGTGGCACAAAGAGCAGGCCTTTGGAGGGGCACAGTGTTCCCAGAGACTCAGAGAGGTTCTGGCAGACACAGTACTTGGGACATGCATGGACCATCGTAAGTGCAGTTCCCAGAAGCAGGAGACAGATGACCACTTTGTCCATGTTACCTCATAGAAAGGGACCTGGGAGAAAGCAAAAAGAAATGTCAGAATTAGTTGTGATTATTGTGATTTTGACCTGTTTTCAGTTACATTTAGGTGGATGAATTTATATGAGCACAGAATGTTTCATGTTTCATGTCAGTATATAAACACATGTAGAAATTTATGTCAAACAGCAATTTATCTTTACAACATGGCTAAAACAGCTTCTCTTAWTGAGGAAATTAAAGGGATCAATGATTTGTTGCAACATAAGACTTTATTTGATAAACTCACATTTTAACTGTAAAATAAAGWCTGTAAAATACTGTAGGCTGTTTAGTTTTTATAATTTTTAAACTAAAAGTTTAAAATGTATTACAAGGACAGGGCCATTTTATTTACACGCAAAGCATTCTGGGTAAATGATGATGTGGATAGGTCCTCAGTGTGAGTGAGCTATGTCCACTCTGAAGGTTAATCTTGGACAATATCTGACAATTGACCAGAGAGCGTTGACAGAGAGGAGAAGGTAGGAATGACTCAGCCTATAACCGAAAATATGGATGGAGGACCTCAATTTAGCTTGTTAGTTTGTCACGCTAGCGCTAAGCTAACCCATAAAAGGCAATATGGTGTCAGCGCTAAATCTAACAGGCTAAGTTTCTTCTTACATGAAGCAGCTCTGTTGTCCTCCATCCACATTTTCAGTTACAGGCTGAATCATTTCTACRTTCTCCTCTCTGTCAACGCTCTCTGGTTTCATCCAAAAGCGTCGATCATCAGATATTGTCCAAGATTAACCTTCAGGGTGGATATAGCTCACTCACACCGATGACCTATCCACGTCATCATTTACCCAGAAGGCTTTGCATGCAAATAAAATGACTCCGTCTGTGTTAAAATATATTTTTAAAAAAATTATAAAACTAAACAGCCTACAGTATTTTCACAGTTTTTTATTTTATAAATGTTTATCAAATAAATCTAATGTTATGACTAATCAAGGATCCCTTTAAAAATATGTTTAGGATCATAAATTTTATGTGTATATATTCATACAAAAAAGCTGATTTGATTAAAATCATGGGTAAATAAACGATTGCTGCTGTTGCTTCTAAACAACAAACAGTAGTTGTGTTTGTTCTGGAAAATGCTGCAGCATCACATTACTGAGAGTTGTAATGAAATAACATTATGGCTTAGTTTCTTCCAGTTTCTTTACACCATCCTTCATCCTTTTGTTTGACTCTCTTCCTGTACAGAGTTTCACAATTTTGGATAATAAAAAAAGAAAACAAAAAGAAGCAGTATAGAGAAAAAGCCCACCAGCTGCAGGTGTAAGGCTCAAGCCAAGGTTGGGCTGACAAAATTAGCACGCTTCTCTGAACGTCTTATAACAGCCCTCACACCCGGCTGAGTCCTTCGAATAAACGTTCACCCTTGGCTTCATCCAGCAAACTTTTAATTCCCCCAGACATTTGTATCATTAATCCCTAATACACCTAAAATTTAAAAATCAATTTTAATCAGGGACTTTTTTTTCTTCACATAACTAATTTTTTCTTATAAAAGGTTTTGCTTCATTGTCCGCCTGCATTATTTTTCATTTATTTCCTTATTTTCTGGGATCATGGAGTTACCAAATAAATTTTTATTTTACATTTCCTGTGTTTTTGTGTTTCCAGTTAACTGTTTATTATAGAACTGAAACTGTTGTTACCCTTGACTATTGCTACTGTAATGTTTTTTTCAGCATCCTTTTTTTGGATGGCCTCCCTTCTCCCCTTATAGCCATCCTCTCCAAACCATTATGATTTTTTTTGTGAAGAGAAAATAGAGAGAGAGAGAGAAAAACAGAGAGAGAAGTAATTAAAAAGATAGAAAGACTGAAATAGCGATTACAACTACACATTCTCACTCCCAAGTCGTCACACATTGACGCTTTTCCAAAGGTCCCCTCAGCGTCTTATTTTGACGCAGCAGGTGTCCCCCTCGCGTCAGTCCTTGACGCCCGCGGCTTTTCCGGGTTGCGCCACCAGGGGTCTTTGGGTCGGGGGTCTGAGGTTAACATGAGGGATCAGGATTAATGGTTGAGTTTAGGTACTGGGATCAGGGGTAGGATGTCCATGGTGAATATTAGGTCATTTTACGCTTTAGAACATGTTTACGTGAATTTCGTACAWTTTCTAAAAATGGTTAATTTTAGGTACTACGGTCAGGGACAGGATGTCTAAAGTGAACAAAGGCAATTTCAGGCTTTGGAACGGTCGTTTTCGCGCATTTTCTACACTTTTTGAAAATATGACAACAGATTCCGCCCCATCTCYTCAGTAACTGACGTGACGGGGGTACCCTGCGCGTCAAAATCGGACGTAGAGGGAACCTTGGAAAAGCGTCAATATGTGACGACTTGGGAGTGAGAATGGGTTGATTACAAGCATATTAAATATACACCAGCAAAACACAGGACCACACACCCAACATCTGTCCGCTCACCTGAAAAATAAATGGATAAATACATAGAGGGCATTTATAAAAATATACACATACCCATACATATATAAAGATATGCATACATACACGTAGACATATATACACACTCAGTGACCAGTCAGAACCCCCCAGATCAGAGCATCTGTTTGTGAGCAGTTGTGAATATGCGTGTATATACAAGATTTCTCCAATGGAATATTTAATAGTGACGATGGGGGACCGAGACCCATCCCCCAAGACACGAGGCAGACATGGGAAGACCAGAGCCCAAGGGCCCGAGAGGAATCCCGAGCGCAGAGCCCCAAGGGACACCCGCACAGGAAGATCCGCCCACCCATCCCCCAGATCAGACCATAGGGGAGAACTGGGAGAGTCCCCCTAGCAACCACACGCACAGCCCCCGGGGCCAGCAGCGACAAACTCATGGGCCCCACCAGCACCCGCCATACCAAAGCAGATCCAGGAAAGGGCACAGAGGTCCGGGCCCCCAGGGCGCACCCCCTCCAGGCCAAAGCCCGACAGGCCCAGAGGCCCCGAGCCCCAACAGGCAGTCACCAGGCCAGGCCGGCACACACCCCAGTGCCCAGCCCCAGACCCCGGGAACCCCCAGCATGCCGGCGCATCCTTTTTAGCTGTGGGACAAAGTACATGGGTTAATTAATTTGTTTATTTTCTTCTTTATTGATTTCCTATAGCCACTGCAAAAGATGCATGCATTTTCCCTTTGAAAATGCTTTGTTTCATTTTAAAATTTGAGGAAAACAATGAATGCATACATTTATTAATGTGTCATACTTGTGCCAATAAATGCACGTTTCCTACATGGATCAGCTGTTGCATTACAATGCAAAAAAATGCATGGAGACTGCACCTCGTAGCAAAATATTAAATCCATCCATCCATCCATCCATCCATCCATCCATCCATCCATCCATCCATCCATCCATCCATCCATACCCGTTTCTTCTTTTCAGGGTCACCGGGGTCACTGGTGCCCATATCCAGCAGTCACAGTGCGAGGGACAGGGTGGACAGGTCACAAGTCCATCCCAATTAATTAAATTATTCTTTTTTTAAATATTTGGAATCTTGCAATCTTACAAAAGCATTTCAGACCCCAACTGGACTTCTCTAAATTCACCCAAGAAATTTTAAACAGGGTAAAATAAAATAAAAAGTGTAAATTTGTTAAAGCAATAAAATAAAAAGACATGCTAACTTAAAAGTAGTGTGAATCAACATTTCAAACCAAACACAACTCTCAGACAAAACCTCATATCATCCTAAAAAGGCTTCAARGTGGTCTCTTGTGAATGAAAAGCCACTGGGGCCTTGCCGATGGAAACAGCCTTGGATTCATAATATTTTTGAGTCAGAACAAGTCTCTAAACTCCTCAAGTCATCATTCAGCTGCCCATCTGTATTATACAGATAAGGGATTTTCTTTTGAAGACATTAATGTGAACATTCTGGACAGAAAATACATGTTTTGAGACAGGAGTGAAGAATGCCATCTAAACAAGGGAGAAAAAGCAACACAAAACAGACCAACTGGGCTCAGGTGTCATCCATCCAACACCTTCAACATGGCCTTAATCCTCCTTCCCAAATGTTTTTTTAAACCAGTCACACTTTGAAACATGACCTGAACACCTTGTATGTTGGTCTGAAAGGTAAACAACTCACAGGTGACAACAAACCACAGAATGCGTGGGTGGGTCAGCGACATAGATCACTCTGAAAGTGTAGTGTGAGAGTCTGAACAACAGTTTACAAGCCTAAATCTCCACACCAGGCAGACAAAACCGAAGAAACATTTGGGAATAGAAATAAAATGTGTTTGAGAAAAAGAAAGTAAATCCTGTAGTTTTCTTTTTGAAACACTAAAGTTGCATACAGCATTGCTATTCTCAATCATACCTTGACCTTTTTCTCCCACTGTCACGTGTGTCATCACATTAGAATTCAAACAGCTCCTCTGAAACTGTACACAACTCTGTGCAAAAAGCTTCTAACTTCATAAATTCTTGCAGATTTGATTCATACTGTTTTGATCTTCTCAGCACTCTGAAGCTAATCCCCACAAGGCTCCATGGTGAGAGCTGTCAGCAATGACAGACAGTTTCTCTCATGGACTCATTTTAATGGATGGCATCTAGAAACACCACCTAAAAAGCCCTGAAAACCCAAAATAACTGCTTTTGTATTTCTTTTAGATCTCTTTTTCTTTGAAAGGGACCCATGTGGTATTAACCCTCTTAAAAAATGGTGGGAACTGCAGAATTGAAAATAGCAGTGACTTAATGCTGTTTGAAAATTCAGAATAATTTCACTATAACAATATTTGAATCTCATAAAATTATCCTGTAAGGGAGTGCCATTTAAGGGGTGCACTGAGATTACAAAGCAGCAGAAAGTTGGTAAACAAGAAGTAGAGATGACCTTTCAGAGACACAAGAGGCTTGGTTGCAAAAAGATGAGAACTGTGGTCACTGCTCATTTACCGGTGGCCTTTTCCAGTCCAGCAAAGCAGTACACATGTCTTT